CTTTTTTTTTTGAAAAATTTTCGACCCCCCCCCCCCCCCGACCATTACAAAATAATATATTGCCCCCCCTAGCAAAAGTCCTAGTTGCGCCTCTGTTCATAACAAACCAAAACATGAAAAATATACTTATATTTTTTTCGAATGAGAATAAAAATAAAAATGCACTAAAAAGTCTTTACAAATTGCATGGAAACCCAAGAAAATTATATTTACTGTCCTGCATATTAACTTTATTAAGTTGAAAATAAAAATAAATGCAGAATCAAAACGTTTATTAGACAAAAGAATATAGAAAATAGTTTTTCTTTGGAAGAAACATTGAAAAGCAGAAACAAATTAAAATTTTAAAGTTTTGAAAAAAGCGGAAACGGATCAAAAATATGAGGAAATTGACTTAATTTGAGGAAACGGAGATCAACAAATTGAGATTTTTAAAAATTTTGAAAGAAGCGAAAACTAATCTAAAATATGAGGAAACAATGACTTAAAAAAATGAGGAAATTCCGATAAACAAATGGAGATTATTAAAGTTTTTGAATAAAAATTGCAGAAACGGATCAAAAATATGAGGAATCAGACCTAATATTTGAGGAAACAGAACTATAATTTCAGGAAACCGATCATAAAAATTGAGATTTTGAAAAAAAAACGGAAACGGTCCAAAAATAGGAGGAACTGACAAAATAAGAGGAAACCATTCAACTACAGGGTGTCCCACGAAACATGACAGTATGCAGGACGACTTGAATGTCGTCTTGATTTTTGATATAATTTGCTGCGTTTATATGTCAACCTAATTTTAGAAGTAAATTTCTAGAGATAATAATCACAAAATTTCCCTTGTCCTGCAGCCATTTCCAAAATGTGGTCTGCCTTTTTTGTGCTTTCAATATTGCCCGAGATATGAAGAATATCGTTCAGATTTCGACAATTTTGCTTTTATTTAACAAAATTGAAATCGGAACCAAACTCTTTATATCTCAGGTAATATTGAAAGCATAAAAAACGCAGACCACTTTTTGGAAATGCCAGGGCTAGGAGAATTATGTGATAATTGTTTCAAGAATCATACATGTTAAAGTAGATAGAAGACTAACAGTGTAATTCATGACTATTAAATCCGATCCTAGGTAAACACCAGTGTAAATGACAGTTTACACTGGTGTAAATCCTTTATTAGAACGGCCTTAACTCAATACGAAATGAGTTTCATCCAAATCTTGAAAAGACGACATCTAGTGTCTCTCTGTAATTTTAATTAATCTATGGTGTACACTGAGTAAAGTGTACCCTATTTATCAGCTGTTAGCCTGTTAGATGAAGATGTTTCGCGGGGTTTATTTAATGTTTATAAGAATTCTCTATGCCGTTTAAAAAAGCTTACCAATATTGCGCGTAGTGAAGAAAATCGGTTTTGAAACTTATGAATACTCAGACTGTAAGTGTAACTGTATAGTATGGGTCAGATTCAGTTTATAGAAAACTGAGTAACGGGAAAGTTAAAAGATATGTGGTTATTATTTTGACCGAGCGATACGAAGAGCAACAATACAATTTTTGACGTAGCGTCCCTCCAAATATCTATAGCGAAGTCAAAAATTAAAGATTGAGTGGGGCTAGCTGTATATAAAAATTGAGATAACTGAAATTTTATTATGAAAGAAAGTTCTAAAATGTTATAGGGTCAATATAATCGGGTCTGTCCTAGTATACGATTTTTGGACCCCCCCCCAGGCCCCCCCTCCTATCAATTTTGTACATGACCAAATT